GGCCGGCGGAGCCGCCGCCGCCTCAGGGTGCTCCGTCCCGGATGGCTGCGGTCGCTCGGGCGCAGAGGGCGCCCGCAGGCGGAGAGCAGGTGAGGCGCCAGCTCTCGTCCCGGCCTCCACCCTGCCTCAGCGCCAGCCGCGCTCGGTCTGTACCTGGGCAGCCGTGGGCCCCGGGGCGGCGTTTCAGCCGCGTGTGGGGAGGGCCCACACCGGAGAGTGGGAGGAGGTGGCCCGGCACAGGCTGGGACGAGGGCAGGGCCGTGGGGAGCGGGAGTGTCTGCCCAGTCCGGGGAGCTGGGAGCTGAACCGGGCCGCCTGCTTCCACCTCTGAGGGCTCTTCACCGTGCGTCCTCTTCCCGGCAGGGACACAGCGATGCTCCCCGTAGGAGAACCATCACAGCCGGGCACAGCAGCGTCCTTCCTCGCTCCTGTAGCGGCCTCTCTGTGGTTGACAGAGAGTTGGAGAAAACTGGAAGAGCTCCGTTCTGCCACAGCAGATTCCTGAAGGTGCGCAACGAAAACGTACATGGAAGCCAATGGTGCCAGACATCGAGAAGCGCTGTGCAGACAGCGAGCAGACATGTAGCAAAGAGCACTGCGGGTAGCGCTTCCCACACACGGTCGAGCTCAGCTCTGAGGAAGGTGGCGCAACTAGAAAGCAAAATCATGAATCGAAAAAAGCAGATGGAATTGCAAAACACTGCCTTGGGCCAGAAGCCTTTGGATGAAGAGTCCTTCTCATCTGCTTCCAGTCATGAACACAGTGCAAGGGGCAAGAAATATCTGAAGAATTATGCTACTGCCAGTGGAAATATAACCCCCAGTAATGCCTGCTCTAAGGAAGAGGAAAGCATCCAAAGCCTTAAAAGGAACGTTATGGTTAAACAGCAGCTTGGTTTGGAGAGTGATGAAGAAGAGATGAGAGAACTGATGGAGAGCTCTTCGGCGTTTTCCAGTGGAAATGAGAATCAGAGGGTTGTGGTAAGTGATTCTAAATGGGGTGGAAAGGTAAATACAGACTTTGCTGGATTATGTATTTTTATTTACACTTTTATGAAATTGCTTTAATTGATAGGTCACTTTTTATTTAGATAACGCCAGAAATTAAATTTTAATTTTGCATTTGTGGCTTGCTCATGATATGATTTAGCTTCAATTCACATTTGAAAATTACTCTTTTTTACCCGTTATAATTTGTTTTCCTTTTTAGTGATCTACACATAATAAATGAAGTAACACATAAATCTCTTTTTCATGTTCTTCAAAAGAGTAGGACTCCAGTTATGTCAGGAATGTCTCCTCCATCTCGTAAGGAAATTTCACCGACAGAGGTATCTAAACCATCTTCTTTTCATAGTAAAGACTCAGAGAAAAATGGTTTTGGTAGAGTTAATTCACCACCACCTTCACCAGCCAGCAGAAACCCATCAGTACGACATAATATGAGATCTCAATCGCTATCTTCTTCCATGAAAGACAATACTGTAAAGATTACTCTGCCTAGAACAGGCAACACCAAGCAAAGCCAAATATCACTTGAAAGTGACAGAAGTGAAATAAAATCGTTAGATGAATTGTTTTCAAAAGCAGCTGATGCAGAAGATTCAGCTAGCAGCAGCTCAAATGGTAAGTGTTCTAAAATACTGTCTCAGTAGACTTGACGTGAGTTGTACTAAGCTACTGATAAATTTTCTGATAAACATGGGCAAGTACTCACTTTGAAAGGATTCAGCAGCGTGATTTTACATAAACCAAGGCTTTCTCAAAGGAATTACGTTGATCTGTTTCTTTTTCTGGTGTAATGTATTTGTATTTTTCCTTGGCTTTTGATTGAATGGGTTCAGCTTAGTGGTGCTTCCCTGGGTGACACTTAATTATGACGTCAAAACAATGACAGCATTTAGAATAGTTTTCATGTATCAGTGGGACAATGTACTAGTGGGTCTGAGTGAGAACAAGTGTAAATGAGGGGCATCAAGAATCTCTTGATTGTGGGTTAGCAGATCCACCGACAGGCAAAGGAGGAAACTTTAGAAAGAGCCGCTGCTAAGGTTAAAGGTTTAGAGTGATTGACTGCTATTACTTTTTAGTATTACACTCTAAACTAGGAATGTTGTACTGATTTATTTTTCCCCACTTTTCTCACTTAAGGGAAAGTGTACGGTAATTTTCATGCAAACGCTCATGACGATTTGTCATTTGATTGCAGGCTTCAGACTGAATATCCTGAGCCTTGATGATTTGGCACCAAATATCACCAGTGAGACAGCAGAATTAAAGCAGAAAGTAAGTAGAAATTCCGTACTAGCACATATTTCCATTCTGCCTTTGTTTGGTGGAAGGTGGATATTCTAAAGTGAATATTTCTATTCTACTCATAGGCTATCTGAGGTGGGCACGTCTCACTAGCTGTAAGGGTTAGATCAGGATTTTACAGTCTACTGAAACCTGACCGAATTCTTTTTTTAGTGTCTGCATTTCCTTACTAAATGTAACAGCACTGCACAGTTTGCAAGGCGACGCAGAAGAGCAACATTTTTATTTCCTAATAAAGTAGTGATATGCAGCAGAACAGATGAAGAATAATGGAGGCATGTTCTAGGTTATATGTTGTTGATTCTCTCAAAATGCAGCTGTTGTGTTTTACAGGGGACAGACATTCAAATTCCTCAAGAATCAAACAGAAATCCCAAAAAAGATACATTCCTGGTGGAAAAGGACCAAGCGTCTCTTAAAATGACAAGCACAGTAACTGGTGTGAATGGTGCTTCTGAAGGGGATATTGAAAAAACTGTGACTGAAGCTGAAATCTCCGAGCATTTAAGTGGAGTTTCTGCAGATTTCCCTAGACACAAACAGGATTATCTTGATCATGACGAGAGAACTGTTAATTCAGAATATTCTGAAGACTTTGAAAGGTCTCTGTCTACAGCAGACAGGGAATCTGTATCGAAAATGTCAGAGGAAAGTTCTGAGAGCTGCACGTATTCTGGAAAACGCCCATCTTCAGCATCGTCAGCTGTATTTACCAGAGAGCGGCATGACCAGGTACACAGAGTAACTGTCAAAGAAACTGCGGTTCAGACAATGGATCCTCCATTCACCTATTGCTGGTCAAAGAGTAAGTTCACAAGATATTGCCCTGTTCAGGCAATTTTTACACTTTCGTATTTTATATGCTAGCCTAGTCAGCCTTGATAGAGTTCTTAGTTTCAGTACTAGCTTCCCCTAGCTGACATTAAATTAAAAACTTTCTGAAGCCCAACACTTTAATCTGCTATCTGTAGAAAAGATGGGGATTGGACAACAGAGTAAGAACTTGGAACTGTTTTTTGCTAAAAAAAAACCCAACAGGAACTCTGGATGGAGAGCTAGTGTTAGTGACAGAGTTTGCGATAGCCTGAGTAATATTCTCAAATGGAATTCAACGGTTTTATTGTATCTTTACTATTGTAAACAATACCATCATATTGTTGCTAAAGTGATCGCCCATCGTAGAGTTCTTTTTTGCATTGTATTTATTTCTTGGGAAAGCACTGTGACCCCATTTACAAAAGACAGATGTGACCTTGAACTGTTGCCGAGGGGTAGCTCCTTTCCTCTCTCTCTTTACCTAAAGGAAAAAGCGGTAAGAGCCACTTCTTGCCACATTCAAGGAGGAGAAAATAGAAACTCGGGTGTGCTTGAAAACAGTAGCTTCCTTCAAGTACAAAAGCCTTTATTTTCACTCCGTCTAGGGTTAGAAAAGATGCCTTCTGCAATGGCACGTGTTGTGAACGTAAGAGTAAAGAAACTGTGGAGGTCATACAACTAGTTTAGCATTGTTTTGGCTGACAGAATTCCCTGTTAGGCTCTACAGCGGTTCTACGGCAACTGACGTCCCAAGAGACTGCTGAAGATGAACCAAGTTCTAGCGCTAAACCTTTCCACCCTCCAAACCCAGTAATTCTGCTTTTATCCTGTCCACAGCAAACACCTCTGCAGTACTTGACCCACCTGTAGGGAACAGCTACATTGATCCAGTACCTATTGCCAGTCACGTCATCAGCATGGATGCAGTAGAAGGTACTGAAAAACATGTTTCTTAGTATTCTGTTTTACTCTATTTTACACATCTAACCCCTGCTTGGATTGTTTAGCCCTTACTATCTGACTGTAACCTATCACTAAAGTATATATTCTCCATTTCTTGCAGCCTTGACAGCATACAGCCCCTCAGTTCTTGTTTTAAACGCCATGTTGAAACAGCACTTGATGTTGACTCAGCAGTTCGTAGAGAACATTCACCACCTTCACTTCTCCCTTGTGGAGTCATTAGAGAATGAGAAGTTCCACTACCACACCCTGGAAGAGGCTAAACAGGTATTTATGATAGACTAGACAGCAGCCTCCATAGCGTAAGTGTATATTCCTTTCCAAACGCTTCTAGTATTTGCAGCAAACAGATTTTCTTCACGTATTATTCATTAATCAGATAAAGTTCATATTATCATTGAATAAATTACTTCCTAGAAGAATACTGTAATGCATGTGCCCATCTTAATAGCAAGGTAGGAGTTTATACAGTAAAAAAAAGACTAAAGTCTAACTGGAGGCCGTAGTTTTGAAAGAATAAGCTTTCTGCTGTAGCATTTAGCTGTCCTCAAACAAGCGAGGATTTTCCAACTGCTGCAACAGAAGTTGTTAGTTTCTGTTGCTAGTATAGAAAAGTGCAGGTATCTTGACATGAAGATTTATTAAATACTAAATAGCATTTATCTACATAATAAAGAAATTTGTATATTAACTTTTTTTTGCAGTACATCAAGAGTCACAAATCCCCACCTCTAACAGTTGAGCAAGCACGTGAAGAAATTCGGAAGGCACAGGAGGAAAAACTGCTTTGACTCTTTGAATTTTATGTAAAATTTACATTTACAGATCTCAAGCTGGAACAAGAAACCCTTCCAAATTGCACAGATAAAAAGCTACAAACTATGTACTGGAAGGATTTGTACTAACTGCTATGTATTTTATCATACATAGTTTATTTTCCTATATCTGAATTTTTTACTAATGTACACGATATAGGGATAGGCAGGAACCTTCAGCCAGCCTAGGTCAGCAAAAAAGAAACCAAGAAAACGCGTCTCTCTGAAGGGAGCGTGGTAAGTCATCCCAGTATGTGTGTTTATCGTGTAGAATGTGTGATCTGCGATAACAGCTGTGATTGTGGTAGAAGTGAAAGTCTGTACTATAGCACCTGAGGAATATGATCACAGTAGAAAAATACCATATCCTGGCTTTAGTGCCATATTTAAACAGTGTTTATATACAGTTAGCCTTGTCACATTACTATGAAACCAAACACACACAAAGTTAAGATAAATTCAATACAAGGAAGGCTTATAGCCAACGTACTGGAATCCACCGACTCTGAAATATGAGCCACCTTTTTATTAAAAAAAAAAAGTGTTTATTGGAAGGCAAAACAAGAAAATCCACAAGTTGATAACATACAGGTGGTGTATGCTGATTCACAGACAGTCACAGTTCCACAACTACAGTAGATCTAGAACAAACTGATATTTCACCATATTCACTGAATGGTTTCAAGAGGGTTTCTGCTATACAAACAAATGACTCTGGAAGAGGTTACCACCACGCAGACCTCTGGAGTGGAAGTGCAGTGTAAGGGCCTAACATCTTTAGCTGGTGGTCTCTGGAAACAGTTACAAAAGGCTTTTTTTCTCATTTAGGTTAAAGGAAGTTTCCAAGAACGTTTCATTGTCAGAAACTTGCAGAGCAGAGAAAATTGATTCTCTTCTATTCAACTAATTCGCTTTATTAAAGGGTATATACAAAAATATAAAAAGCTTAAAGAATGTCTTCCATTACAAAGCATTGAACATCCCTTAGAGCGCTTGAAAAGCTAGAACGGTTAACCCTCGTGTTCTGACCAGAGTTGTGACTGCAGCAGCTGGTGTGTAGGGGCGTTAAGTTGTATGGTAGGTTCTAACAAGCTTGCACAGTGCTCATAGGTCACCTGTACTGGAACTAGATGCTTCATTCCCCTTTTAGACATTAGGATACACTGCTCAGCATCAGTCTGACTTGATCCCAAGGCAGCACCCCTCCACTTCAAATAGAATTAACCTTTTGAGAGAAATAAACATACATTATGGAACTAGAGAACATATAACCATATCAGATAATGTCTGTATTCCACAGGAATGAATGAGTCACAATCCTGCACCAGGGACGGCTTGACTGGGGTTTAATTCTAGTATAAAATGGGCAACTAATTAAAAAAATTTTGCAAAATAAATGGAAATTCTTAAACTTGCTAGACATGTCATAGTTACGACTGGCCTTTTTTAAACACTAAACAACAAGTGTTGAAGTACATGTCATAGCTTTCCATTTTTCACCATAGTTTTAAAAGTAATTCATTTGTCACTTCCTCCAGACTTTAATCCGGATTTATACAAGTTTAATGTTTTGTAGAAGATGCAAGACATCTTTCTTCAGAGAGTCTTATTCAGGTGGTGGAGGGTCTTGCGTTTCACGCTTCACTGAAACAATAGGGAAAAGAGTTCTTACACATTCTGCAGTTACCTAAGCTGTCTGAAATGTTTCATGGAATGAGGGCTCTACGAGTAAGGAGTTTTTCCTTCTGGGCTTCATTTGAACCCATCTTATTTCTCAGATCTACTGCAGCCATAGGCAGAAGTGACTTTTCATTTAGCATGCCAATTTTTTTCCTTTTAGTCACTGGCAAGTGTAGTTGTTCTACGTAACACAGACTCTCTGCAAAAATCCATCAGTGGTCTTCATTTCTTAAGAAGCACCTCCACTTTTTCTGAACCCTTCCTGCACTACAGTGAATTTATCACCAGTTCTGGCTTTGGCAGAACACAGCGCTAATTGGGGGAAACTCGGAGCTGGGCAGGGCCAAACAGTAGGTGTGGTCTAACTTCATTCCAACCACAAAGACCTTCCTGCTCCGGCAACCATCCCTCCTGCAGCAGGGCTCCCTCCGCTACCTTTGAGATTGCTCCTATTTTTTTGGAGGGTGACATTCAAAGATGCAGGCTCTTGGTATTGCAGCCAGGAAGTGGCTTACACAGAACAGGTTAATTAATTAATCTTTCAGAAATTAGAATACAACACAGTTCCTAAAAAGGAAAAGATGCGGGGTTAATTAGAGGATATGTCTACTTACCTGTTTTATTGTATCCATTATATTAGAAAGAATTAAGAGTTACTGGTCTTTTGATTTGGGTTTACAGTCTACAGTAAATAGGGCAAAATCGCTCTCAAGTCTGCACAGTGTTTTAAATTGCTTAGAAACATTCACTTACATTCGTCTCTGGCCTTCATGCGTGCGATAAACGAGTAACTTTTATTTCTTCGGTAGTTTTCGTAAGGGTCATCTAATGCAACTCCCACTCCTTTATATTGATCCCATTTGTCTCGGATATCCCCTCCTTTAATTGGATCCTGAATTCCTTGTTCCTTGGCTCCCAATCCACCAGATCCACTCCATCCTGCAGAAAGGACACAACATTGCAATCCTGTCACTATTTTTTTTTATTACTAGAATTCTGAAGACAGACAAGCATAGACATTTTGGAAACAACCAAAGAAAATGTCAATTTAATACAGCAGGATGGCGACAGACAGCCTGAAACAATGTATGACCTGTCCCATTTATTTCAAAAGCACTGATATGCAGATTCTGGGAGCTGACAAACATCAGCACCATCCCTAAAAACCTTTAAGAGGGCAAGGGGAAAGGCAGCGCAAGCCCAATCTGTCCAGTCAACCCTGCTGACCTGCGCCATAGGGAGATTAAATACCTGGGGGGGAGCTAAGTGCTACTGGATGCCAAACTCACAGCGTCTTCCGTATCCTTCCCAGAAAGGCAACTACCACCACTGCTCCATGTTTTATATACCTATATCTCTGAATATCCTTACGCTGCCCTTGGAATACCAAGGGATAGTCACTTACGAAAATGCGTTAATTAATTGTATCCAAGAGTTGGGTGCCTGATTTTGTTTCCTGGCTTGAGTAAGATTCCAGAAGAGCATCTTACCCATTTTCACTAGCATTTGATGGCCTTTATTTTCTTCTCCGAGTCTTGATTCTGGTATAGGAGGCCCAGAACTGGAGCCCAAACCAGCAGAAGAACTAAGGAAATAAAAAGAAGAAATTAAGAAAAGCGATCCTGTTCTGACACAATGCAAGGTCATTTATATTCTGTTAAACGTTAACATCCAATATAATCCCATCCACTCTACCAAGCTATTCTTTTATAAAGCTATTAGATGACGGAATTACAAAGGTGCCAGAAATGCCCTACTTGCTTCTCGATACAAGGGAAATCAAACACTACGGCCTTCCTAACACAGAGAGTACTCGGAGGATTCCTCCTGCTTCCTAGGAAGGCATACGAAGCCTTCATAGTTGCAGTGTTTTGTTGTAACAAAAAGCCACCACAACGGAGTAATATTCTCTCTATAAGCACACATAGCATATAAATAGTTTCTAAATCTGCTTCCCATCTTCTTTTCTACTATTTGTTGGAATGCTTAATATACCCAGCTTGGGAGAAAAGCACCCTTGTTGGTACTTTTCCAAACACCCCAGGTAAAAAGAGAGAAATAAACAAACAAAAGCTTACGGAGGAGTGGGGCTGCGAGACCGGGACCGGCGCCGCCTTCCCGGCGAGTACGATTTCGATCTTGATCTTGATCGTGACCGCGAGCGGCTATGAGAAGAGCGGGACCTGCTCCGGCTTCTGGAAAGAGAGAGCACACGAGATCAGACGCACAAGCTACCAGAGCAACATCCAGGGTTCCTCATTCAGCCCTGAGGGTTTTTTTCCCACCCCCTTAGTTCTCAAGCTTCAGCCCACTGCACTCTACCTGGACTGAGAGCGTGAATAGGATCGTGATCGAGAGCAAGAGCGAGATCGTGACCTCGAATAGGAGCCAGATGATTTTGAAGATCGCGAATTGGACCGGGAGGATGAGCGACCTCGGCTTTTAGACCGACTGCGAGACCGAGAAGGCCCACTGCACAGACAAAAGCAGAGAAACCCCAGTGAAACTCCTGGGAGAAGCACGTGAAACGCAAATATACTTCTGATCAAATTCAAATTACACACAAAGCACTGTATTTCTGCAGACAATCCAGTGAAAACTTGAGTGTGGCAAAAACTTTTCTGCAGATTAGACAGAAATTCCAGCAAATTGAAACTCAAGTTATTCCACCAGCATGCTGCTGAACAGACTTTCCCTCTGCATTTAGCCCAAGGTATTCCTAGCACCTTCCAAACGAACAGCAGACAGGATCTCTCACCTGTTTCTCTTCTCCTGACCTTTCCTCCGCCTCGCTCTCATTTTAGCTCTGAAGAATTCGTACAGTCCATTCTGCTCCCAGCCTTCACTGCAATAAATCAACCACACATAGAACCGACGTCTGTAAAATTCTACTTTGATCAACGGAGACGTTTGGGATTTCTGCTAGATTTTGTAGGGAACAAAGGGCCTGGGCAAAAAGGTCTTGCAAATCTCAGTGTAAGATCAAACAGCGTGTGCAGTTTAAAATACAACAAGAGCACTCATTTCAGCATTAGAAGAACCAAGACACAGGCGAAGGAAGAGAGAGGCACTTCGTGGTTTGAGACAGCTCCTTAGGGCATTTTCCTTACCATATTGTTAGCTATACCTACTCTTACCTGTTTCTAGGCCTGTCATGAGATGGTGGACTATAAAATGCCTCAACCGCAGCCAGTAGTCTCTCACTGGGGGGCATTGGGGGTGGAAGACGTATATCTTTAGGATCTAAAGGTTTATACTCATGATCTTCAAGCTGCCGGAAACAAAACAAATTACATTCGTGTCATGTGTCATGGGGTGGCTACCTGAAGAGAGAAATACAGATTTAACTGTGTAGGGACCTCACATTTCACTATTGGATAAAAAACGGTCCAGAAATAAGGATTCTGCAGATGACCCAATGCCTTCTCGTGCCATCACTACCATTTTGAGTTCTACGAGAAAAGCTAGCACTACATATGGTGCAGCATTAACTGCATTTTATCTGCCTGGAGATCCAGATCTCATCTATCCACCTTTGTGGCAACAGTGGCTGGACGGAAGCCTGGCAAAAGCTGGTGTATGCTGAGAGTAACACACAGTTAGAGATGGAAGAGACCTCTTTGTTCGTCTCAAACACAGAATGCATAAATGTATATATCCCTGAAGATGCTGATACATTGCCTGTTCTCTATCATTCTTTGTTTGTATATGTAACATTAGTGTTGCAAAACATCTTTGTAAGAAAGAACTCCGAATACCAAAAAGCAGTACACAGTGACCACATCAGAACTGCAAGGTCCCTCTGGCCATCTGAAAATCACTGGGGATTTCTGTTTTCTAAAAACGGGGGTAAGATTTTCAAGAGTAAATTAGTCTTTCACATATATGAGGCCAACCAGCTTTCACTGGCACACAACACTTGAAAATGTTACCATTCTCACTACCTTCTCCCTCCCTGCTCCTGCCCTTGTATACCCCGCAACAACTTTGGCTAATGGTTGCTGGATGAAAGGATTTGAAATTACAAATGTCCGTGTTAAACTGTCCCTAATATTGACCATAGGATCTAGATCTTTTAATCCTACTCGTCAGGGCCCATTGCAAGCACTTACTTTTACAAGTGGAGCCATCAGTCCAGCAGGAAGATCAAAGTAGGGGACATTTGGCACCAGACTAGGATCATCATGGTTCATGTGAGGGGGGCCTTGTCGCCGCATATGAGGAGGCTGCCCGTTAAATCCATGCGGGGGAGGCCCGAAATCAGGGTGCTGTGGCCCTCCCCAGGGAGGATGCTCGCTGATTCCAGGATGAGGCAATCTGTGACCAGGGTGATGATGAGGAGGTCCAATTTCTGCAGAGTGGGAGGGTTAAAACATTTTACTTAGCTATAGAGAAAGGAAAACAATCAGAGATGTATATTTCAATTAGTGCATTTATCCTAAAAAACCATCTTGGCACCCAGAGCCTTGCAGATCAAGAAAAGCAACAGACTTGAAGAACTAGAGGCTGGCTGCAGGTCCACATTCAGGAACATCTTGCAGTGCATCTCCCTCCCTGGCCATAACAACCGCTCTCAAGACAACAGGATACTTTAACCCTAAGCCACTGCTTACTTTGGGACATTCTGTGGTCAAAAAGTACCACAAGAAAGACACGCTCAAGAACAAAAGGTTTCGGATGCAGCAGGGCAGCTACTGATAAGATCTATTTCTGAAGCCTAAATACACAAGCATGGACCTGTAATTAGTTCTGTCTCTATGCCAAATCATCATATACAAAAAAAATAAATATGGCAGGAATTAACTCACATGAGCAGGTGACAAGAAAATACTTTGTTTAAAGAGGCGTTTCGGGAAGAGGTAGAGATAATATCCTGTTAAAATAGAGAGGTGAATGACATCCAATCACTGATGGACGAACCATTTGCCATGAATGCCAGGATACCCTGCTGAACTCATTGCACTATACAGAGAAAAATGCAAGACTGAAAATCAACATCTTCCGCAGCAGGACCAACAGTTTTTCCAGGAAAAGCCAATCTTCAGCCAGTACTATTGAACTTATCTTCATCAGAACTTGAACACAGTCTGCGTTGTCATTGCTTCACCGCTTTCCTAATTTTAGCCATCTGTTTTAGTAGATCCCCTCCTCCAGCAACTTTACATAAAACAACAGATATTTTGGATCACCACTACAATCCAAAACAGAGCATCTTGTCTGAGCTTAAACCTTAATTCCCCCAGGACAAGAAAAGCTGTTCTCCCTGCTCACTACCAGAACTCTTAACAAACAAACAACAAACCCAAAGAAAAAGGAAAAAAACCGGTACAATCTCTACTGGAGAAGTTAATCACAATCCTAAATATATAAGCTCTAATTCATCCATTTTCAATGGTTTTTGGACTTGGGGAACCCAGAATCTTTTAAGCTTAAAATAGCAACTCCTACATAGCAACATAATTGCTCTTTTAAGCGGCTTGCCATACAGAACCACAGTGATCTTTAGACTTTACACTGATAAGGACCATTCCAGAATAATCATAACTTCTGCACGTGAAATAGAAACTACATCGGGGCAGAACTATACCAGACTTCAGGAGGGAGCCTGCAGCCAAATCTGAGCCACAAAGGCCAGGCAAGCAGTGCACTGACTACACTCTCAGACATCCCTGTGTTCCAGCAGGACAGCAAACCAAACAAGAAGGTCAGGATCATTTCACCAGGCACTACCAAGCCACACAATGTTAAGGCAGATAATCAGAGAGCTTTTCAGTACAAATAAAAGAGAAGAAAGGAAGGGCATGGATGAATGTACGCACAAGAACAAATGCTTCCAGCCTGGCTTCCTCTAACTTCCTCCATCTATGGAGGGCACAGCTGAAAAGCCCTCATCTATGACCTGATGTGCAGGAGATCGAATGTACAAGTAAACGCTGCCTCTCACCTTTGAGCTTACCACTTTTGAAGTGTAATAGTCACAAAAGGGGTGCCTGTAGAGATGCTGACTTGAGTTTGGATTACAATTTCTGATTATCTGCATCCGTTAGGGAAGACTCAAAAAGCAAGGAAGCATCCAACTCTGCATGTACTTCCTACCGAGTTGTTAGCAGTAGCTTCCCAAACCCCCAAACTCAACATTTCTCAGGAAAACCACAACAGTCCACCACGAATAAGCTGTCACCCCAAAACACTAAAATAATTTTGTAATGGCAATCAGCATCGCAACATAAGAAAACCTGGCCTGGTACACACTTTACCTTGAGGAAAATCCCCCTGGGGGTAATCAAAACGATGAGGATAAGGAGGCCTTTCAAAGGGATGGCGAGGTGGAAAATCATCCTGCATGAAGCGAGGTGGAAAGCGGTTGAAATTATGCGGATGCGGGGGCTGGTTGAATTGGGGATGTTGCTGATGTGGAGGAAATGGGCCTCTGAAGTGAGGTGGCCGCTGCATTCGAAATGGAGGTTCCCTTTGACCCCCACCCCATGGAGGTTGTTCATGCTGGTTGTTCCACGGTGCTTCAAACTGGTTGTTCCAAGAAGGATCGGGCTGGTTGTTCCAAGGTGTCTCTCGCTGATTGTTCCAGCCTTGATCTCTCTGTTCGTTCCACATTCCTTCATGGTTGTTATTCCACGGAGGACAATGAGGTGGTCCCTAGTGGTGAAGAAAAGAAGCCTGGTCATTAGGCTACAAAAATAAAGACAGCAATAAAAGAAATCTACCTTTTAAAAGTAAATATAGCCTGCAGGCAACATGCACAAGTGAAAGAATTTTCCAAATACAAGGTCTGAACAACTGCAGCTTCAAAGAAAAGACAGGAAAAGACCAAACTGTTACTGAACCACACAGCTCTGTACTCAAGACAGTACTTCTTGTTCTACTTGTTCATAGGGAAAGTGTGATGGTTGACAAACTGAAATACAACTTATACTTCGCCTTTAACTGGGCTCAGAATGAGAAAGCTTGGCATTTGAATCTGGATTTATAACTTTCACAGCTTTTCACGACACTTCCACAACGAAGACGGCCATTCTGAACCTCCACCTCCCTCTACATCTCGTTTCAGAGCTATGTTTCTTACCTGTTGTTGACCCCATGGTGCAACAGGGTGAGGTTGATCAAACCAGGGTGGTTTATTTGGAGGAATCTGATCATGGGATCCAGGGCCACGTGGTCCACCAGAGGCAGGATCCTGCACTCCAGACCCTGTTGTGTCATACTCTGTAGAACCAGCTAGAGGCAGCTGAGATTTACCATCATCTGAAACAAATTGGAGACTATTGTAAGCATCCAGGTCATGTGTCATTAATAAAACACCAGCACACCTACAACAGGCTCCATCTGAATTTTGTTGGATGCATAAATATTCTGCAGAAATCTGTTACTGGGAGAGAGGATTTCCAACCCGTTTAACACTTGTCTCTCTGGTTCTTTTTATATTCAAGCATCAGACTGCACCAGCTGCAAGCCTCCAAACAGTTTGAGGCTTTCGCCTGAACCAAACCAGCACAGCACAGTACCTCACTACTAAAAGAGGAGCAAAAAAAATAATCTCACAGTGTTGCCACCCACTGATTTCTGCACAGGGCCCCAGAACAGGTTAGTACCTGCTTGTGTAACTGGAGCAGATGGTGGAGCCGAGGCTGGTGCTGCTGTGGGGGCTTGAGGTGGGGGTGTCGATTTCACCTCGTTCTCTAGTGGTGGTATTTGTATTTGTTGCTGCTGCTGCTGCGTTAAACTGTTCACGAACTCTTCATGTTGAGTTTTCAGGTTCTGTATCTGCTGTTGGAAGGCTACTTGTACAGGCTGTACTACCGTTGCATATTCAGTGATCAAATTTGCCTGATGAGATAAATTAAGAAGAACAAGTTAACGCTGTACCTAAACCAGTTATCCTATCTGCTCCTTCAGAATCTCCTAGATTGCTCTCCGCCCCTCCCAAGAAATGCATGAGCGTGCAGGAGAACCGGCTGGCAGAACCACCCAGCCACGCTATGAAGCTCTGTGAAGATTTCCAAAATATTCTCTACAGGTTAGAATCCACTGTCTATATTAATGCCTCGCTTTCAAATACAGCTAAAAATCAACAGCATTCATTATTAATGCTAAAAATTAATAGTTCCTGCTGCCACAATACTTTTTACGCTTACTGTATACAATTTAAAGCTATGGTTTCTTTAGTTTCCTTTTTACCATTCATCTCCATAAAAAGAGAACGCACTGTCAAATATGTACACGACTGTAGTAGTTACAAATGCAAACAGACTTTCCGGGATCAGATCAGCAGCTGGATTATTGAATGTTTGAAATAACAAGGTTATGTTTTACATTATTTTTGTAATCCTTTGTAAACAACTTCAAGGCGGGGGGGGGGGGGGGGGGGGGGGGGGAGGAGCGGGGGGAATTAATATTTACCTTTCAAAAAAGGAAAACATTTCCTAAATTTGTTTTCAAAGTATTTACATAAATAAGAAAACTGTTACTTTTCTTTCGTGGCTAACCTGGTACTGGCCAAGTCCAAGAGCCGGGCTCTGTAACTGCTGAATAATTGACTCATCAAAGTATCCATTTTTCTCCCATAGTTGAAGAAGCTGCATTAATTCAAGAGTGAAAGGTTTTTAGAAATTATGAATGATAAAAGAAAAATTGAGGCACAGCATTTTTATGTCTCTAGCTTTGTCAAAAGACCCAGGATTTCAGCACTTGTCTTTGAACCACCAAAGATTCAGATGCATTCATCAATACGGTAACTCTTAAATAAAGCGTAGGTACTTTTAAGTTCTAGTTTAAACATGAATTAAAGCACATTCCATAATAGACTTTATGAAGACAATCACACTAGAAAAATCTCAGTGGTCCTCTTCCACCCTCATATTTGTGAATTTGCCTAGCACTAACCTAACAAAGCAAAGCATACAGTTAAATCAAACCCAAATACTCACTCTGGCAATTTTCTGTTGCTTATCCTCTTCCACTGCTAGAAAACTGGTACAATAAATAGGCACAACCACCTTCTGTAAAGCAGCCAGAAGATCTCGTGCTTGCTTCCGCTGGCTTCAAAAAAGGAACGGGAAGAGAAGAGTTACTGCCTTTCGCTATAACACTAAGAGCCTCGTAATACTCAATTCCTCCCAACTTCTGCTATACTAAAAGTAGTGGATTCATAAAATAGAGAGTTCCCTCCTTTACATTTTTACTGTAAAGTCTTGTCTGGAGAAAAAAAATACAAAAACGGTAAAAGCTGCATTTGATTATTAAAGCCCTAGATCTTTGTGCCAGCTATGGACATCTTAAGACAGCTGCTTAAGAGCCTCGTAATACTCAATTCCTCCCAACTTCTGCTATACTAAAAGTAGTGGATTCATAAAATAGAGAGTTCCCTCCTTTACATTTTTACTGTAAAGTCTTGTCTGGAGAAAAAAAATACAAAAACGGTAAAAGCTGCATTTGATTATTAAAGCCCTAGATCTTTGTGCCAGCTATGGACATCTTATTAGAGCTGCTAAAAACAATGAACACATTAAAAATAAAAAGTGAGTAGTCAAACTAACAATGTACCTAGCGGAGAGAGACTTCACCGAATGAATCAAAACATCAAACCGAAAACCATAGTTTAACTCTTACCAGTGATGCAATACATCATTGATTAAGTAGATTAGATGTAACCGAAGCTCAAAGTGAGCTCCTTCGGCCGTTATACGATTTCGCAGGTGCCCAGCCATCAGCTCACAGTGTGCAGGAGATTTTGCATTACTAAACATCCAGTTCTTGCCAGCCTTAGAAAAGCAAATTGAAAATATTTTAAGTTAGTCTAACGTGTTCACGTCGTATGAACTTCCTAGAACTCTGAAATAACTGCAAGACGGGAAGCTTTCAAGTAACAGCTACCATCGCACCTACCATACAACAAAACAATAAAGCTGCTGTTTACTACACAGACAGCCTCCAAATGCAAATTATACTTAATCCACGACTCCACCAAACAACTGTTCAGATTTACATCACTTACTGAGATTGCATCTTTTGTACAAGTGTCAATTATCGGCTGCAACAAGTTGTCAAATTCGTTCATATCTAACTGGGTTTCCTCCAAAACTTTCTGCATTTGTTGCTCAATTGCAAGGGCTACTGCTGATGTGACTTGTTCCTGGAAAAAAGAAGAAAAAAAACAATAATAAAAAAAAGAATTATATTACATCCAACGTTCTTCTGAAGAACTAAGCCGCTGTATCCCCGTCCTCTTAACCATAAGCAGCTATCTTGAAGACCAAGACCTTTTACAAGCAATGTGACCACATACAAATGTTTCAGTTATTTGTTTTTGAGAAGAAAAGACCCTTCTCGTTCTTCAGGAGAAGTCCAGTTCATTTCCACCTCTAAAATCTCTCCATCATGAAAAAAATAATTGCAGGAAGCTCCTAAATGTGTAGAACACAATCTAGGCATACTGCTTTCCTCCAGGAACTCTTCAGCTTGGTTCCCAGTAGCTTTAACAGCAAAACATCACCCGCAAAAACCAACTAGTTCAAAGTACGCAGTTCCCTTCCACCCCTAATCAGAATCCACCTCAGAATACTACAAGCTGGAATGTCTTGCAGTTCCTGGCAACCTGTATGTTAAACAAAGATTAAAGCAGGCACAATTTATTCCACTCTGCAAACCAACAAGGTTATTCATAAAGTAAATGAACCGTTTTAATCAAAGATCAGTCTTGCTAGCACATCGGATACATCTGTTCTAAGGTGACAGCAGCTGCCACAGAACAAAAATAAGCAAAGTAATACTCCCTCTCCTCACCAACACGCGATGCCGCCACCACTAGTCAGAAGGAAACCTTCCTTTCCCCCTTCACTCCTAATTTTTACAGCCACGGGTAGTCTAGGACAAACCGGTCAAGCGCTTATCTTAAACCAACCTGTCTCATGGCGAGGAGATGCTGCTCCTGCTGCTGCAGGTTCCACTGACTCTGCTGGATAAGTTCCTCCACGGAAGGAGTGCCCTGAGGAGCTGGGATAGGCGCAGCCGGTGGGAGAGACGGTTGTGGCAGTGGCTGGATCTGCGCGGTAGCCTCGATATCTTGACTTTGCTTGCACAACACTATCGGACAAAGTAAACTTTTAAAGTAAGCGTCAAAGAAATCCGCTACCACCAGCCCACGCGTGAAAACCGTGCTGGTTCCAAAACAGACCCTCGCTCTTTACGTAATTGCTTAACACAAAATGAAAATCGTGCAGTCAAGGGTGGGTGGTGCAAAAGAGGAGTGTCAGCAACTCCTTGCGCACTTCGAAGACCAGCCCCCGGAGCCGCTGCGCTGGACCGCCCTACTCCTGAGGGCCCTCGGGGTGCTGAACTCCCGTCTCACC